ATTTCGAAATTACATAGATACGGAGTGAGAGGAGTAGTTCTAGATTGGTTAAAAAGTTATTTAGATAACAGACAACAATATGTAGAATTTGCTGGTAGTACATCGGAGTGTATGAACATAGAATGTGGTGTCCCGCAGGGCTCGGTTTTAGGGCCTAAACCTTTTATTTTGTACATCAATGACATATGTGAAACGTCAACATTATTGCAATTTGTGTTGTTTGCAGACGACACAAATTTATTTTGTTCAGATGAATTAAACATTTTAGCAAAGTGTATTGGACATGAAATGGTCAAACTTAAAAGATGGTTTGATGAAAATAAGTTAACCCTAAATTTGAATAAAACGAAGTTTATGGTTTTTGCTAATAGAAAAAAAGATGAAAACATTTCACTGTCCATTGATGGAGTTTTTATTGAAAGGGTTTCTGAATTTCGATTCTTAGGTGTGACACTGGATGAAAACCTGACATGGAAATCACACATAGCACATGTTAAAACCAAAGTGTCTAGGAATATTTCTGTTCTAAACAAGGCAAAGTATTTGCTAGATCAGTGGTTCCCAAACTTTTTGTGCCCAAGGCACACCAAAGGACAAGTACAAATCTCAAGGCACACCTATTGTGCAAAATAGCCCTTATAACACGTGTTATCACTCATATCATGTAAAATATCTGTAAATGTGCATAATTATTTACTAATGCCAAATAAAATGTGACAAAGACAACTATATTACTCATGAAATATTTATTAACGAAATATTTCAGAAATTAATTTGAAACTTTATCAAATTAGGTTTCATCAAAGCAGCAACACACTCATTTAAACCAGACAGGTCACAAAATTAACATTTCAGCAATCAGCATTGAAACATGTGCTATTGTAAATATTTTTGCCGACTTCCAAATTAGTGAGATACATGTGCCTGTCGGGGCGTGCAGAATCCTTGGTGGCACTGAGGAGAGGGCCACTCGCAAGTCCTGTTCAACAGAGAGCCGTGAGTCCCGTGACCTCCTGTTGTTCTTCATGTAAATCAGAGTAGAGAACGCCAACTCCAGAGATGGGGTCGTTACTAAAAATCTTTAATATATTACATATTACTTTAAAAAAAGTAATATATTACACTACTTCGTTACTATCTACATAAAGTAACTCGTTACTTTACTCGCCGAGCACGTACGAACTTGTGCATGCCTGAGTGGCAATAACTCTCCTTACCAGCAGGCGGCGGTAGTGTGTATTTGTCATTCAAAACAGGCAACAACCGGAAGACAGAGAAGAAGAACAGACAACGTGATATAAACAAACAACAAATAGCTGTGCGGTAGCTTCACCTTAGCATGTGTTCTTTGCAGGTGCTTGTTGAGGTTTGACCACGTGGTGTTTACAGCAGTGGATAACAGCTTCTGGCCTGGACACAGTTTGCACCTCACCGTCACATTCCTGTCTATTCTTCGGACGAACTCAAAATAATGGGCATACCTCCACCCCTCGAGAGTTATCGCTGACTCAGCCATGTTTATGCAGCACTGCACGTGGAGATGTGGACGCGCAAGTCGCGCAGATTACGTACATATAAACCTACAAAGTAATGATATTATAGTAAATAAATAAAATATTATTTTTGTGTAGTTGTATATTGCAATAATAACGTATGGTTGTTACAAAATCCCACGGCACACCCGGACTTGCCTCACGGCCAAGGGCGCCGGAAGCGCGGGGGCCAGGGGGCCATTGGCCCCCCCATTTTACGGCCCTGCCCCACATTTTCGCAGCAGCGGATGCCGCGGAACCCTGTACACATCCCGTTTCAATAATTCCCCTCTACTCTAAAGTCGCATCTAAAAAGAACGCCATCTGATCTAGCTGTGTATATTTTGTTATTGTTGATTGTTATATTCAATCTCATTAGCTACAGGCATTTTTGAAGCTTGTAAAGGGAAGAACACAGCTCGCCTCTCACTCGTCACTCTGCTCTTCTACAGCGCCGCTTCCCCTCCCTCCGCTGACATTATGAATGTAAGGCATAGTAATCATAGATAAACACCGCAGGGTCCGTTACAGTTTGTTTTCATCTGATTTCAAATAAACAAAGTCTTGGCTTTCAGAATATTAAACTTGTTTCGGCAAATTCAGATGATAAATACAGCTTTGAAGCTTTTAACGGCATAATTACAAGCGGAGAACGGAGTAATTTGACGTCACAGCAAGCATAACAACAGCCGGTGTTTCTGCTGAAAGTTTTCCCCGGGAAACAAACGCAAAAATACACAAACACACACACGTGGTATACACGCACACACTCGCGAGCATCCCCCAGACCAGTAATCCAAACGAAAATATCTTCCCTCCGTACTACTTTGATCATTTGCTAAACTAATAATCAATCAGATCGATCCAGAGAAGAGGAAACTTTAAGGCCTTTTTCTCAAAATGATGACTCTGTGACAGTCATTATATAATGTGACATATTTTGCTTAATATAGTACAAAAACAATCCTGATATCATTAGAAAGCTAGGAATCTCCTCTTCCAACAGTGTATACAACTCAAAATGTGTCTTCGGATCAATGCGACTGATTTCGATGGAGCAGGTCACTTTGCATTAGGTAAAATACAGCAGGCAGACATAACAGGAAGAATATGTACATTTTAATCCAATCAAATAGGACATTGTCACACCATTCAAATGTATCCATGTACATTACAACCAATAACAAAGCTTAGATGTGTTTATTTGTTACGTTGTTTACGTTATGTGTTACGTTGTTCAGTGTGTGTCAGCCGTTAACCTAGATAGATAAACTTGCAAACATGTCAGAAGAACCGGCGCATAAGAAAACAAAATACAGTCAAACTAAGCTGAAATTCAACAACTTGAATGTCACATCCCTGACATCCACAACTCCGGAGCCTGGTCCTTCAACCATAGAACCAGCTCCGGAGCCTGGTCCTTCAAACACAGAACCACCTCCGGAGCCTGGTCCTTCAACCATAGAACCAGCTCCAGAGCCTGGTCCTTCAACCATAGAACCAGCTCCAGAGCCTGGTCCTTCAACCATAGAACCAGCTCCAGAGCCTGGTCCTTCAACCATAGAACCAGCGCAGCCAGATGAACCCCAGCAGCAGCTCTGCGGCCGCAGAGGCTGTCAAAACCGCCGCCGCCGGCATCGTTGAACCGAAACAGGCTGGTTCCGACTGCATGGAGGTTTGTTGTCGGGACATTGTGACGGGCCAATAAAAGCTTATTTGGGCAAAGAGAAGGTACTTCAATGCAGAATGGTACAAAAACAGAGAGTGGTTAATTATTTGCAAAACCACTAAACGAGCCTTCTGTGAAATATGCAGATTTGCTGCTGTCAAACGGCTTGTAACTTTCTCCAAATGTGGAGATGACAGCTTTGTAAATACCGAGTTAATAACTGGAACTTTTCACAGAGCTTACTTCAGTCAAACACCAGTCAACATTCAGCTTGTCAAACAAGAGCGTAGCAGGAAAAAAGAAGAGATGGAATGAGCAACTGCGCTGTCATATGTGGGCTGGTCTGTATAGTTTAATGTACAGGAAAGGAGTGAGCAGAGGGTTGAGTTGTCCATTCTTGTTCTGTTTTCTCTGACTATCTTCCTCTTGAAGACCCTCTCAGACTTTCATTTGCTCGCGCTACTAAAGAGACACGTTACCATGGAAACCAAACAATGGTGTAGCTGTATTGAAGTCCGAGTGGAAACAGTAACATTTGGTTCGTTATGTTAGAATGAAACAAATCAGATTTAGTCAGAAATTGGGATAAATGCGGGATAAATATGACCCCGGGAGGAAAACGGGAGTCTCCCGCGAAAATCGTGAGGGTTGGCAAGTAGGCTATGTTACATACACACGCACTTTTTGCCCCCCCCCCCACTTCTGAAATGAATCCGGCGCCGCTGCTCACGGCACACCAGTGTGCCGCGGCACACCGTTTGGGAACCACTGTGCTAGATTACAAGGCATTGAGGATGTTGTACTGTTCACTCATTTTGCCATTTTTCATTTATTGTATAGAAGTGTGGGGCAACACGTATATGAGCAACATAAAGCCATTGTCAATATTACAGAAAAGGGCAGTAAGAATAATTTATAAAGCTGACTCAAGAGAACACACCAACAGACTGTTTTTCAGGTCAGGACTCTTGAAACTCAAAGACATAGCTGAGCTGCAGACATTATCAGTAATGCACAAAGCAGAATGTTACCAGCATCTTTACAACAGTTGTTTGTTTTTGGATCAGACAAGGAAGACCACAGAAGGAAATTAAATGTTAAGCATCCATATGCAAGGACTACTCTTAAACAAATGTGTATTTCGGTAGTTGGTGTACAATTGTGGAATTCTCAACAAAAGGATCTAAAGAATTGTATATGTATTTTTCAGTTAAAGAAGTTGTATACATTAAGAAAGATGGGACTATATGAAGCAGAATGTGAATAAGTCTATGTACTCTGGTCCTTCATGTTTTTGATGTCTTTGATGTGATGTCTCCCCAGTATTTGCGGGTCCCATTGCCATTGTTATTGTTGTTATTGTTATTATTATTATTATCATCATGCGTCGCTTTCCACCTTCTTCTCCAGTAGGACTCGGATGAGGGTGTTGCACTTTTCTTTTCCTTATACATGTGATGTTTTGGTGGTGTTTTGTTTCTTTCCATTAACCGTCAAGTGGGAAATAAGTATTTTTTGTGTGTGTTTCTCTTAGTATCCTAAGATGCTGTTATGTTTGGCTGTGAAAATTATTATTATGAAGGGCAGACCATCTATTTGTATTTATTTGTTTTTTTTAGAAAGGGGCAGGTCACATAAGATTGTATTCTTCTCCCTGCTCCTTTTCGCTCAATGGTAGAGTCATGTTTTGTGAAAATTATTGTACATTTGGTTTTGCGTACCATGAGCGGGACAAATAAAAAGGAAATGAAATGAAATGGATGTTAAGTAGTATTTGGGTATGGTATCATGGAATTTACCACTATGTCCTCCACATGACACATGTTGCATCTGCATCCTGATCTTGTCAGCCTGACTTCTCAGATAAAAGCAGTGCTGCCTCATCTCCCTCACAAGTATGGCCCTCTCCTGCACAAGTCTCCTTTTGCCCATGTAGGCATCGAAGACTTTTTTTTGGGCCAAAATGGACACCGATTCTGAAGAGAGAGGAACAGCAAGCATACCATTACCGACCAAGACATGCACCAGTAGGATAAGTGACCGGTCATAGTCCATTGACTGGGAAGCTGTTGTTATAGGTCTTGCTTAGTGCCAGAAAATAAACATATTATATAAACACAAACAAGAAAAGCTCTTACCATCACTTTGCACTTCCCATGGCCATATTAGACTGTCTGTTGTTTGCTGTTCTGCAGACAGTCTTCTCTCCACCTCTTCTTCCTGGATTTCTCCTTCAGGAGGCTGTCCGGTGTTGTACTGTCGTATTGCCTCTTAGAGTTTGGTCTTTTCCTCCCTTAACCTTTTGCGACGCAGCTGCCGAATCTTATTGCTGTCTATATGACGTAATTGTAAAAAAGATTACAGAAACAATGTTCAATGGAATTTACATTACATGACTGCAACTGAATAATAATAACTTACCAGTCTGTCTATAGAGGCAAGCTTTTTTTTGGCAGCCCTAGAAATAGCTGCTCAATGGACATCTGGGGCCTATACTACGAAGCTGGTTCAACCTAACCTGGATATGTTTGAGTTAGCCGGTTGGCCTAATCCAAAACATACGCGCTCTCGCTAAACTGTACTACGACGCTGGTTATCAAGTGGATCGCTCAAGCCAGCCGTTTCCTATCTAGTTAGGTGCACGTTCACATGAAAGGGGTATTTGCAGCATTCGACCAATCACAAACATGGAGAAGCGTACTGACAGCGCAGCGTCATACTTCCTGAATGAAAAGTGAACTTTAATACTAGTCAAAAATGAAGAAGTTAAACTTTAAACATCCATGTCTTAAACACTTTATCCAGGATAAAAGCCACATAGCTGCACCTGCAAGGTGAATACAGCTGGCAAAAGAAAAAGTGTTTGAATGCGTACATTAACAGGTTTATGATATCACTGCCCGTCTAAAACACGATCTGACTTTAATTACATTTGTCTCGAGTGTTTCGTCAACTTAATGTGTTGCTTAAAATAATACTTCTGCATACAGTCTGTGACACTGTGAGTGTTGCACGGCCCGATACGGCTCAGCTGACTCAGATAAGAAAATATATGATACATTATGATGTGATATGCCGCGGACTGTACTTAATGTTACTCTGATCCGGTTACTCATGTTGTGGCATATATTCAAGTAAGCTTTCTTAACGCTAATGTTATAATAGTCAGATTGCTCTGAAGATGGAGGTGATATTCTATTAATGTTCACGTTCACACAGTCGGTGATTTTTGCCGGCCGTCTTTCCTGCGACGGCAGCTTTTCTGTATTTCCTTTCTCCTGTAATATGACTTGATCGCTTTAAACTCCGCACACTGAGCTCTGATTGGTCAGCAGGCAGTGCTTTCACTGAGTTGAGCTCTTAGCCTGCAACCTAACCTGGTCCCGACCAGGTTAGCCGCTAAGCATAAGTTACCATGGAGATCTAGCCTGCTAAAAAGAGAACCAGCTTCGTAGGACCGGAAAGCCGGAGTTTCCCCTGAATTTAGCCGCTAAGCGGAAATCCTGCTTCGTAGTATACCCCCCTGGAGAGACTGATTGTAGCCTGATGTGTTGTCTTGGGTAAATAACAAGGGTAACACTTTATTTTGATAGTCCATTAACACTCTATAAGTCATCAGATGACATTTAGTAGCATGTCAACAGCGTATTAATCAATATTCAACCTTACTATCTGTATATTGTGTCAACATCTTCAAAATTGACAATCAACTACTCAAAATCAATCTGTCAGTTGAAAGTCAACAGGGTCATGTTGACTATCTGTTGATAATCTGTTGAGAGTCAAGATGTCAACTAAAGATTACATTAAGCATCAGTTGATGATCAACAGATAAGCAACTTTAGAGTTTAGTTGACTATCTGTTGATCGTCAATTAATCTAGAGTTGACTATCAGTATACTTTTAGTAGGCATTCTCCACTAAGCGTTTGTAGGCATGTGTTAGGACTATCCAATTAAAGTGAAACACAGTTGAGAACAGTAGAAAGTCTATAACCTATCAACAGAACACATTCATCCACTAATTATATGCAACAGACATGGGAATAAAGCGAAATGTTTTTGCACAACTGATCACAAACTTTATTTATTCATTATGTATGTAATGTTTGAGTTAGAAACACCTGTTCCTGTTTTATTTGACTAATATATAAGATAAATACAGAAGCCTAATGCATTCACTTGAGAAAAAAAGGTTTTTCACAATAACTCACAATCTACTGATAGTAAGGTTGAATATCGGTTAATAACCTGTTGCAAAAAACATGTTGACAGTCAACAGACACTTTTTGTAAAATCTATAGATCAACACTTGAGATGTACCTTATATTCTACTGGCAGTTAGTTACATGCATGTTACTTGTCTGTTGAAACAGTGTTGTTGAATGTCAACTGATGACTTGTAGAGTGTTAACTATGGACTATCAAAATAAAGTGTTACCATAACAAGAAACACAGTTTGAGGACAAAGAAAACATAGGTGTTAATACTATACGTTAAATAACAATGTTATATTATCAAGTTACGAAACAGCATAGCGTTTGTTGCCCAGTCTCTAACATCATTAACCCATTGTTGGACTTTGTCCTCAGGGCATCCAAGCTCTTCGCAGGTGTCCTTCATTTTTTGAGTCTCACCCTCCAACATTTTGATTGTTTGTTGTAAAAAAGATGTTGCAGATACAGATGTATTTTCAAGATTTTCACCCAAATTTCCATAACTTTTCATGTCTTGAAAACAGTAATTAATCATTCAAACTTTTCCAGACCTGCGCAAGCACTCAGTGTCCAACACTTTACCAGCTTGGACAATTATTTGTTTGTGACAGGTTTGCACATTAGCCTTACAAATCTAATCTTGTCATGCCTATGCTTACATGGCCAATTACCTTGACATATCTCTTGGCCAACACGACATTAAGGTTTTCCTGCTTCCGTCTGTTCCATCCCATTGCATGGACAGTCAACATGTCATTGCGAGCTGTTTTTAAAAGTAAAATTGACAAGCAGATAATATAACTTGGGTATTTGGAAATCAACTCGTAAAAACTCTACTACTGTTGAAACAGACTACATCAAAGACAAAGATAAAGTAAAGTAAGAGATGGATAATAACTTCAAGACAGAATTATGTTGGTCTAATGACAAGAGGACATACCATACCTGTCATGTACTTAGTTGTGATGGCACAACGTGACAGAAAGCTGTTCACCATCTCCACTTCTTCCCTAATCTAACAAATACACATATATTATATGTCATAGATGAATTAAAAAAAATCTTACAATCACAATCATATAAGAGTGGGCCTACCTCACACTTTGTGGAATGGGCCTTGGCATGCATGACCGAGAGAAACGGTTGCATGCTCAGCGAAGGTCACAGTTATGGCATTGTCTTTGCCACTTTCTCGAGGTAGGGCCAGTATTTACAAGCAATATCTGTGCAATAAAAATGCACGTTTGTAGCTTGAAACTGCATTTGAAGGAACAAGGGGTAGGCAAATATTTCTCCTCTGAACATGTTGAGAGCTTTCAGTAGCACTCCATGTCTACATACAGCTACCTCTAACTCCTCTTCATCAAGCCTGCTGGCTCTTCTTGCTGTCTCTCGAGCAGCTGACCACTGGCTGGTACCACATGTACCTTTTCCTGGGGTCTACAATTAAAGACATTTGAATGTTACACTCTCAAAACAAGTAAAGGCTAGAAAAATGATAGAAAAAAAAATGTTGTGCTTACACATTTTACATTTGTTCTGACTTTGTCAACAAAGTCTGTGACAGCCGAGTCTTCCATGATGAACGGCCCTTTAAAAAGTGGTTCATCGATCCTAAATTCAAAAATAAATATTCAATTCATTATTATCATCATTGATAGGCTACTTCTTAAATTCAATTGACATACAAAAAATATGTACCTCTGTGACTGTCAGAAACGGTACTGTTTCCTATTCGCATCCACTGACACAGCCAAGATTTTGGGAGTACAAGCTGGGCATTAGAAGAGTTCCTCACACGTCATTTTCTGGCACTCGTACTGGCAGGCCATATACTCCAGAAAGCTCCTTTGGAAGACATCTCCATGGATTTTTCTTGTCTGGAAGTTTGAGAAGCAAAATTGTTACCTTACACATGTCAGAATAATACGAGGAAACAGGAAGACTTTCACAGTGGTTGGAGGCAAGAGGGGGGCTATTAGGAGTATCCCTAACACACGATATCCTGAAAAGTGAATGTCAGGTTAGGATTGGCAGATGCTGGAAGAGAAGGAACATTATTTCAGCTTTTGTCATATTATGCACCATGACTCTATACAGTACAATACAATACAGAATCCCATTTTTTCCCACAGAAGAGCACAATGTTTTTCATCATACAAATTGTGTTCTTCAGTAAAGAACAAAAGTTGGTTTATGATATGTTTGATCTTATACAGTATGTCCTACATCTACCAGTGCTAGGTTTTTAGCTCTAATGTAACACTAGTTAAACTACTTTCAGTAACATTGTAAGCTTTTCAATTTAGTTATTTTGACATAAACATATTTCCAATCAACATATTTCATCTACACAAAATAAAATGCATCCTTTCACAATGCCCTCTACTTATGCAATACTCAGTGAAAGTCATCTTACCCTCCCATAATGCTGTGTCCTCCGATCCAGCATCTGTAAAAAGGCCTGTCTGGACAAACCTGGTGCCACAGTCTTCAGGTCCTCAAAAGATTTGAAGACATCCGTGGAATATAACGTGTCTCAGTTCACAGAAGCTGGCCAGTAACCGCTTCGAATGAGGTTTCCCCAATCAGGTGTCCATTCGTAATGGCATGTGTTGCACACCCTCTTGGGGAGATGCAAATCATAACGCCCTAATAACAAACACAGTTTAGTAAAAACAATCACATTCATTACCTGTATTAGGTTGACAAAAAGAACACTTAAAATCATACCATTAATTCAGACGAAAATGACAGGCCTGCCTATAGACTCTGTAACACCTTCAGGGTTACACGAGTGTGAAGGCCTACCAGTGGGCAGAAGACAATCTGTGAAGAGGGGTTAAAAATATGTCTTAAACTACCAGCACATTAGGAAAGTTATAAAATAACCACTTGGGGCTAAATTGTCTTAAGTGAAATAACTTTGTCACGATCTGTCTGTGTTGTGTTTTGTCTTTTTCTGTCTTTGGTTTCCTGTTTTATTTTGAAGAAGTGTTCACCTCCTGTTTTGCCTGTTGGTTTCTGTCTGTTTTCCCTCCCTGATTACCCGATTGTGTTCACCTGGTGCCCCTGTGTTTCCTCCTCCCTCCTCACCTGTCTCTTGTTTGTTTGATTAGTCATGTGTGCATTTAGGTTCTGTGTTTTCTATTAGTCTTCGTTAGTTCCTTGTTGTAGTTGGACGTTGTTCACGGGGTGAGAGTTCTGTTTTGTCCTAGTTTGTTTCATTTAAACCTTGAAATAAAGGTATTTTTTCTGAGAAATCTGCTTTTGGGTCCTGCCTGCTTCGCTCATCCCTGACAGAAGGAATCAACCTAATATGGGCCCAGCAGATCCTTTTGAGCAGGAATTATTGGATTTTTCCTTTT